AAGAAACCATTGGTGTTTCTGAAAATGTGCAACTAGAAATCTGGTGTCAGTTAGGCAAATATTCCCCCCCACCCCTTCTTTTCCACTTTAAACCAGATAGTCCATTCATTCATTCAAATATTTCAAGATATTCACCATGTGGCAGGCCAGGTGCTGAACAAGATACATGTTTTAGCAGGGAAGGTAGACACAGTCAATTATACAATAAATACTTTCATCTTGATAAAGCAGTTCAGAATAATTTGCAAACTCATATGGGGAGCCAACTGGAGTAACTTAGGCAAGAAGGGCGAAAAGCTTCGAAGCAAACAGAACAGTATGTCCAACAGCCTTGAGGTAGGAAGGAGGAGCAAGTGTCTAAACTTAAGCAATACAAGAATGCAGAGAGGAAGGAAAAACACATCAGATAAGATGGGCAAAGAAGCTAGGGGTCAATACTGAAAGGTCCTTTCAGCAAATGAAGTTTTAATCAAGGGGGCTGACAATTATATTTGACTTTTAAAAGATCACTCTGACTGTACTGTAATTTGGAAAATGGATTAAGAAGGATAATATTACTTAGATTTATTTAGAGTCATTAAAGAGACTTTATGTCTTTATTAATATCCTCATGATTGTATCAGAGGATATATTCTCTACTTCTACCTGCATTCCTCCTTTCAGGGTCTGTGCATATTCATGAATACTTTCAGAATTAGAATGAGACTTCATTTTGAAGGGGCACCTTCTGTTATTCCTTCTGAATTCTTATTCATATTGGATTGGATCTGTCTGTCTACACCTACAATTAATTGTTCCTAACTCAACCTACACAGTATGTATGTAAGCTCTATTCTTTATGAAATATCTCCATACGTATGAAGAAAGCTATGTGATCCTCCTTTAAGCCTTCCTTTCTCTTTTCAATATAACAAATTCTTTCAACCACTGTTCAAATGATACGGATCCCAGATCATTTAATAGCTTGATCCTCTTAGAACCTACATGCAACTTTTTTATTGTAAAATAAAATAATTTTTAAAGATAAAATAATCTTTCAGATTTAGCTTACATCAGGATTTAAGGAAAGTAGTGCAAATGTTCATGGATGTGCCTCTCCGGTGAAGCTCAGTTGATTGAGCATTGTTCCATGCACCAGGAGGTCTCTGGTTTGATTTCTGGGCAGGCTGGGTTGCATGCTCCATCCCCAGTATGCGGGTGTGCAGGAGGCAGCCAATTAATGTTTTTATATTTCTCTTCTTCTCCCTTTCTCTCTCTGAAACCAATAAAAAACATTTTTTAAAGTATGACTTTTAACAAATGTTCATGGATTACAATATGTCAGTTTGGCATAGTTTTGAGCAGAGTGGGTAAATATAGATGTAAGTTGTGGCAGGTTGATAATGCCCACTCCACGCCCCCTGCCAAAGATATCAAGTCCTACATCTGGTGACTAGAGATGTTAACTTATTAGGAAAAGGGTCTTTTCAGATATGATTAAATTAATGATTTTGATATAGAGAGATTATCTTGGATTATCTGGGTGGCCCTTACATGCAATCACAAATATTCTCATAAGAAGAAATCAGAAGGAGATGCCACACACACAAAAGAAAAGTAGTGTGACCATGGAGGCAGAAATTGAATGATGCAGACACAAGCCAAGGAATGCTGACAGCCACCAGAAGCTGGAAGAGTCAAGGAATCAATTTTCCCCTAAAGTTTCTGGAGGGAGTACACCCTGCCAAAACATTAATTTCTGCCTAGTGAAACTTATTTTTGACTCTTGACTGCCAGAACTAGAAGAGAGTAAATGTGTGCTATTTTAAGTGAATAGATTTGTGATCGTTTGTTACAGAAGCAATAGGAAATGAATAC